CACGTACATGGAAGACAACCTGTGTCAAATGTAACTGTGTTCGAAGTTTGTTGGTTCCCCCTTCTTGTTGTTTTTGAACCTCGCGCAACTGATTATTTATATTTTGGTAAAACCAGGGCCATTCCATACCAGGTAATTCCAGATCGCGGCTGTGGACGGGCATCTTTCAGGTTATTTTCAAACTGGATTGTGTGTAAATTTCAGTCACTGTGTTTTTTTAAAGTTTTTTCATATCCGTGCTATTACATTGTATGGAAAGGTTTTGCTTTTACCAATGGTAAAATATATTTTTATAAGTAAGTGTCTGATTGCTTGATCTCTTGGTTGGTTGATTGAACACGTCAATTGAACAGTTCGTTAATTGATTGATTGATTTTATTATCTAGTCCTTTTCCGTTTACTGTTCAGTAAACTTAACTAATTTAACGAATATTGTGAAGAAGGATCCGCAGTAATTGGCTGTAGCTGTGGCGGAAATCCTGCCTTGTTTATATATATAGTAATTTGATGTTTCTTCTTAATATTGTTACCAAGGCAAAGTTAGATAAATTAAATTAAAATAAATTAAAAATTAAATTAAAAATTTCAAACGCGCGCGCAAGTAAACACAATCATTTAAATGCTTGCGTCAGCAATCTAAGCGCGTCAGCGTAAACCGTTGTAATTTATTGCGAGATAATTAACATCAATCGCTTGATGATCGTACGCTGTACGTGAAACACTGTGTAGCGATGAGATAAAATTTTAAGATTGAAATTTGTTGTTTTTGTCTTTATATATATATATATATATATATATATATATATATATATATATATATATATATATATATATATATATATATATATATATATATATATATATACAACGGTCCGCTGACGCGATTGCATCATGCGCGCGTGCGTTTAAAATTCCGCGCGCTAAATGAGTTTCTGTGGCGGCACTTTGAAAATAGTTCTGTTCGTTTGTTCAACGTCCTATCTTTGTGAGATTTAATTATGTAAAACTTCTCCTCTAAGCAAAGGTTGCAAGAATTTGCACCTGCTG